ACCCCCACAGGGACTGAATGCAACAAGCGGTTGACGAGTTACATTTTCTAGTTGTGCTCAACGATGATGATGGGACCAAGGCTGAATGAACTCTGATTATTCCGTACGCGGAAGACGCATCGTTTATTCCAACCATCGGAAGGTACGCACTCAATTGCGCCTGACAAATGAGTTTCCACGCACACCTCTGGGACTTCGGCAACTTCGACGCTCGACCATCCCTCCCAGTGTTCCGCTCCTAACAGTAGCAGAAGTCGACTTATTGTCTGTGTGTTTGATGAGAAATGATCATAGAGATCTCGACTGTTTCGAGAGGTGCCGCAAACTGATGATAAATTAGGAAAAGTTCAGAATAGCCTTCGCGTCACAAAGTTCACTCCGCTACTGAGTCCAGGCGGCAGAGCGAGGCGTGCGCAAACTCATTTCTCATAAACAACTGTGGCCGTCCCGACAACGACTACCACCACCAGCAGCGGCTCAGCTACTTCCATTGCCACCAGCCCAGCCCTCCCTAAATGTCCCGGAACTCGGCGTTCGGTCGTCTTCAGCTTGGCCCGGGGAGAAACTGCCGGCCTGCTGCGCTTTTGACTACGGCTTCCCTTCGCCCGAAGCTTCCCACTTCGCAAGCAGCGAACTTATCTAATCCGGTACGGCGCTCATTGTATGTATGTGATGGCGGTACCGATACGGAAAGAAACGAGAGAGAAACCCTGGGTTCCCGGTCCGCGTCCAATGCCATTTTGAAGAAAAGTAATTCAGACCACGGGAAGCTCCGTGATGACTAGCATGATTGCGAATCCGTTTCTCGGACTAGGAGGATCCGTCGGGCTCCAGAACGGGCAGCGAAAGGTATCAATCCCGATCGTGGCAGCCTCTCGACCATGATTTTCGAGGCTTCTGCTGTGAAAGCTTCTCAAGGCAAGGCGCGCCTTGATTTGACTTTTTCTTTGGGAATCGGAGAACAGGAGACGCGCCCCGTCCATTCCCCTTGAGCTCTCTCACTTGTTGTCAGCTGCAAGCAGCAGTGTTACCGTACGACAATCATCGACTCCGTGGGGAAGAATGAAGGTCTTGGTTGGTGCAATATTCATCGATATATTGCTCGCTCGCTTGTCGCTTGGCCTGCATCGCGAATCGTATTGCAGGAATAAGCGATTACAGCGATAGACATCGATGTTCAGCCCACAGTGGGCAGATAGCGCCATCGTCCGCTCATGAGAATCGAGTCTCGATAGACACTCGACAAATGTTACGAGGTACTCCGGCACATCGACTCGCGGACGTCCAGCTCACAGTCGTCCTAGTTCATAATCTACCAATTTTCGGAAACTGCCCCTAGCGGAGCTCCCGTCCTGCGAGACTAGAGCCTTGGTGAAGGCATTCGCATCGCCGCCCCGTAATCCACCTCCGGTCAACATTTGAGTTGCGCTGCAAAACCGAAAATCCTTGTGAGCATCATCCCGGGAGAGATCCGAGTGGGGGCTCTACGACCCTGCTTCTCGATTAAGCTGACAGCGGAGAAATACGGGAAAAGAATTTCCTCGGACCAGGAAGGAACCCCTCTCACTCGCGAATTATAGGTAGATCAGATCTCCGGAATAAAGGGATCGGAATCTATTCCGTATAACCCTCTCCGAAACCGGCAGCGCCCAAACGACTTTTCGATTGGAGCAGAGCCCCTGTAAGGCAGAAACATTTCCTGAATGAATGGAAGCGGATTAGAATCCTTCCCTCGATCATCTTAGTAATTGTAAGCAGGCTTCGAACAGAATATGACGTGCCTCTGCATCGCTTGCCTCAAAACAAACTCATCGGGGGCGATCGATAATAATGGTCAGGTCACAGTCGATTGTCGATGTTAACTCATTCGAGGGACACCCACTTTCCCGGATTGAGATTCTGTCAATGGGAGCGCAACGATTCATCGATAGATTCGGCGTACTGTCCTCATTGAGACAAGGTGGTGCATTCGAGCTCTATACAGCTTCTAAGGCGACAGTCCTTCTGCCTATACTCCACCAATGGCAGGCTGAGCGTGTGCGAAACGAAACATCATGAGCAAGGAGAACGAGAGCATACATTAGGTCCCCGTTCCCTGGTGCCTTTTCTTCTTCTCCGATGAAATTCCGAGGTGGCGGCTCACTTGCATAACAAATATCCGTATTCGTATTTTCTTCTATCTATCGTCTTGGAATCGGATCAATCCATGCATTGTATGATTCAAAAACTTCTTCGCAGCTTTCGAGAGAGGTGGTCCTCTCAAGAAATTCGATCTCGCTTCCGATATCGATATCAGATGTTTCGAATTTCTGCGGCAGTGGCGCTTCGTCTCCGACATCGAATGAATGATGGATGTCGATCATTGTGACTTCTGTGGGACGACAGTTTTTGTCCTTCGAACAACAAAGTGAATCTTCTTAGGCGAGTGTGGAGATGGCAAAATCGGTGATGTAGGTGATCCACTCCGGTCCCTAAAAAGGATTTGAGATCCCTTCATCTACTGTTTGTCGATGATAAGCTGAAACATTCACGTGTGGAGCGTTCATTGAAATTCATCTCGCAGGATGGGGCTGGATGAAGACTCTCAAAGGGGCAGTCCGACAGTTTCGGAGACGAAATGCCGCTCGCGTTCGGGACAGGGTGAATTCCTGGCCTCGACCGAGTTGTCTGATGGCGGACCTGCAAGGTGAGTGCATATGGCTGTGGTGGACTTCCAAAACTAGTCGTAGGAGCGATCTCCGCATGAGCCGAGTTCCTCTCACTGAGGGTCGGTCGAGAGTCCTCTCCGGTCGTGAAACGATAATTACCGATCGAGAATTTCGATCAAAATGTTCGAGCGGGAGCTCTGCTAGAGAATAGAGTGCTTCCCATCCAGGTCAGGCCTGTGTTCAGAAGAACCGCAGAACGACGGAATCGAGAGCAGCGCCAACGTAAAAGAAATAAATTTGAATGAACGAGCACCAGCAGGAGAAGCCGTCCACCCAAATGACGTGGGAATTCTACCTCCTATCGAGAACGAGGCAGGTGCTGAATCGAATCTCATTTCACAACTGCGGGAGAAAATCCTCTTTCTCGAAGCGAACAGGGACGCGACGCTAATCGAGAAAAATCACAAGTCCAGCGTGAGTATCCGGGAACCTAGAGCTCTTCGAAGTTTTCGCGGAGCACAGTCCCCATACAATGACTGAACTCTTGTCATATCAGAGCCTTCAATGGTTTTGGCAGGAGCTCTGGTGTCAATTGGTCACGGCCAATGCGAGAGTAAAAGACCTGGAGCAGCAATGCGCCTTACTAAAAAAGCAAGTGGAAACAGCCAAATCGAACTCTCTGAACTCCAGTGTCAACGCGAAAAAGGTTTGATGCTCCTCAAGGTGCATAATTCTCTATCCAAACGGTGGATAGCTCCCAAGGGACGATTTAGTATACGATGGAGTGGAAGAATGCGGGATTCCGTTCTTCGTCTCTGTGCTTAAAACTTGCTACCCGATACCGCTGCATCGATAAGCCTCTCTGAGCATGGCTGCTGAGATAAGGCTTGCAGAGTGAAAAATGATTTCATTGTTCTTGGAGTTTGAGAGCTCAATGAAGAATGGAATTTTCAGATAGAAAGCTCATCCAAACGCTCCGGAGAGTCGAAAAAGTATCTGAGGTATTTACGGCTCGTATTCAGAGCGCTCATCCATGCCTGCGTCGAAATCTGGAACGTTCATATGCTGTGCATTCGTTTTTCTCGATGAAGCAATTGAAAAAATGAGGAATAATCCGACCCCGTCGAGGGAATCCCGTCGAGGGGACTCAACGACTCCTTCCATCAGCAGGAAGCTCGAGGAAGCCCAGGCGCTCATATCGAAGCTGAAGGCAAGGGACGAAGACTGGTCAAGAAATCAGTTCAAAGAAACTGCGAATTTCGAGGAGTTGAAGCAACTGTTCGTGAAGAGCGCAAGTGCTCTCCAGGAGCAGATCAGGTGCAATGCTGATCTCACGATTGGCAATCATCGGCTTGAAGCTGAGTTGGAGGCCAGGGCGGCGACCGAGAGATCATTGAAGGAAACTCTAGCCACTCTGGAGAAAGACCTTTCGGCAAGTCGAAAAGATATGGCGGCCATGAAACTGAGGCAGTGCGCTGTGGAGCAGGAACTCCGAGTGACCCGATGTGAGGTAATTAAGATTGACGTACTTGTTCCGCTGAGATCATTCCACGACGGCGGAATCTGTTCTGCTCAAATGACTTATCTGTATCTTTCACAGCTTTCGGATGAGGAGAGGCTGAATAAGCAACTCCGAAGATATCTCGACGAAATGGAGAAAAGTCACAGGATTGAGCTTGATCTCACCAACTCCAGACTGGCTCAGGCTACGGCCGTGAGTTTCGCAGCTTCACGAGGAGCGCACGAACATACTTGTTCAAAGTCGATCCGTTGTCCGTCCTCGCTCGATCGCCTGTCTCTGTGTTTTCTCCCCTGCAGGAGGGGGAAGAAAACGGGAAAATAATATGGGGTCATGCATGACGACAAAATTGAAAACGTCTATTCCTCCGCAGCTGCTGAAGACGATTCACAAAAAAATCACGGGCCGTGAGAAGAAGAGCAAATTGGCGCGGCTCGCCGCGAGAGTCATGGGTCTCAATGATAAGGTTATTCGAACCCTAGATCACATTTCATAGTGCGCCCATCGATCACAGCGGAGACGTTCCGCCCGACGAATCCCGTCGCGCTTACTGTAGGACTGGTATGGATGATATTTTTCCGCAATTGTATTGCAGGGTGCGCATTCCTCTACAACTGTTCGCGAGACCCCGTCATCTCCAGGGGTCACTGAGCACTAGCACTGGGGCCTTTAGGAACTGACTCCGGAAACCGGAACATGATAAAAGTACTCGATTTGGGCCCCCCCTTGTTCTATTTCTCAGTCCAATGGCTCTGATCCGAGATGTAATTCACTATGCGAGGTAGGGTGTCCTAGATCCGTTGCGGACGAAATCATGATCCTCCATTCTCAACACATATAAAAAAAATTTAGTCTAGTCAAGTAGATACAGTTTGTACATTCTCCCTCTCGGAGGACTGTCTCGTTGAAGGGAAAAGAATAAGGATCGACGTCGATCTGAGATATTGCTCTGCTTTGAGTATCGTTTTTTTTCCTTCTCCGCTCCTCGGTCTATCCCTCCACTTTCGTTGCCACGTTTCCACCATTGGTTCTCTCAGGAGTTAAGGCACGGCTCTGGTCCAGATGGGTGACGTTTATTCCGTCATTATTCGCACGCAGTCACTGGATCGTCAGCGAATCTTACGGTGAAAACCTGCAAGGGACGAGTAATTTGGGTTGATCGACTTTCCGGAAGAAGCCTCTAGCCTGATCTCCAGAGTCGATATTCCTCTGTAACGATCAGGAGAGGGCATCCGTGGCTCCTGAAGGAACAGGAGTGCGTCCCAAATAATTGGAAGCTCTCATTCATGAGAATACGGCGCTTTGCGAATACAACCGCCGAAGATGTAGTCTGCCTCCTTCCTCTCCTTCCCTAATATTAGAATCGCTCCTTTCTCTGAGGGGAAGCCCTATATTTCCAACAATGTGGATATTCGCAAGTGCGCCGCATAGAATCTGCCCCCTGGGCGTGTGCCCTCACTTGCCCGGTCCGGTCGCCCACTGGCGACAACTTCAGTCAGGTCCTCTGTATGAATCGACCCTGAGACTGCGAGAAACCGATGCGCGTGTTTCGGCAACCTCTCGAACACTCGTTCATGACGTGTGTTGCGGTTCCGAAACTCGAAGAATCGGAGGTGTTGAAATGCTAATTACCTTGGTTTTTCGTCACGATCCATTGACGGTCGATCCTGTCTGGTTTGCATTCGAATTCCACGCGTTCTGCTGCGTAGCCACCGGCGTAGTCGGCTGCGACGATTGCTGGCTCGAGCCGTTAGCGTCAGATATCTGACTGCCCAGGAGCTCGACCAGCTGAGCCTTCTGTCAGATGCGGTAGAAATGGGGAACCATCCTCGAAGCTTTCAGCGATAGAACGCTGCAAAGCCACAGGATCATCGTCGCGACCGAGAGCATGTAGAGCGACCTGTGATTGATGAAAGAGGTAGGTAAATCGCCTGATCTCCGCATGGAGTAGAATCAACGTTGAGGACTGACCGACTGCTGATAAAAACATTTTTCATCCTTCCCCCGCCGTATCTCTTACCAAGAATAACGACATTTTGGTCCAAGATGGTACGCTTCCGACGTTTCACCGCAAGCCTCCTTCACTTGAGGGTTTCCGTAGCCGAGCGGGTAGAGACCGAGGCCCGCGACGACCAGCAGACCTGAAATTCCGAAGGAGATTCGATGGTATGACAGGAAAATCCACTTTTGTGACATAATCGGGAAATTCGGATAACAACTCCATCCGACGCTACATTCCTCTACGCCCGGTATCGAGAGTAAAGAGTCGAATCTAGAGCTCCGTGGAGCTGAACTTGCATCCTCCTAAATCAATGATTTCCCAGGAACGACTTCACATCTTCTCGGATGTGTAGGGATGGAAATCGAAAATTCCCACAGAGGTGCCCCCGTGAAGTTCCATAATCTACTTTCCCCGAAGCGCATCAGAGAACCATCTGGAACAACCACACATAGGTACATATATTCTACGAGCGGTTTCACACCGAGTTCGGACGATTGATCCATTCGCGCGAGGCTTTGACCTCGATGAACGTCTAGAGCCTTCGGGGAAGCCTTCTTCAAAACAGGTTGAGGAGCCGTCGGGGGAACCCCCTGGTCGACTAGAGGGCGGGCCAGCGGCATGGCCCCCTGGCGCTCCTTTTTATCCTGAGAGAGATCTCGAGAGCTTCTTGAGCGACTCGCTGTGAGCGCACATCATCAGACACACCCGCTACGGCTGTTTAATGAAAGTCGCCCATTAGAACTACTCCCGGGGTGCAGTAGCCATAAGCTGTCTTTAGTGAGCTCACTGGTCGAGCAATCATTCCCCGAGACATTCAGTCCATCCATTCGACCGTTCGGCCAGAAAAGTGTTCCAAGCAGCGACCAAAGTTGAGCTGAAGGGATTTATCCCGTTTATCAAGGAGCGGTAGTCTCCGTCGGAATACGGACCACCGCGTGAATAGGATGTTTCCCCGCTTGCGACTATTCAGGAATTCATCTCAGAATCCGGCCACCCTAAGATTCATTATCACGTCGCGTCGTACTTTTGAGCCTGTCTCATGCCTTCGGAGCGAGGTTGGAAGAATTTCGGTGGGAGCCCCGGCTTAAACATCGGGGATTCCGGATAATTATCGGGAGCCTGCCGACTGACCTCGGGGGAAGGTGGGCAGATTCGGAGATTCTTTGTATTCAGAGCTCTGTATTCTTGTATTCCTCCGAGGAAAAGACATACATATGTGGGTGTATTCGAAACTATGTACATATACGGGATATCGCTGTGCTGTGTCGACGTTCCGAACGCCTCGTCTGAGAATCGTGGAAGTTTTCCTCCCTCCCTCCGTACGCTCGCTCGCAACGCTGTTCCGTCGCCGCTGACAAGCAACGCGTACACGTTTCCTTTCACAAGAGAACAACACTTGTTAGCTTTTTGTTGTTGGCATTGTGCATCCGAATGCAATGCGAGTGGGGTTGTAAGTAGAAGATGATCTCGTCTCTCTTCCATTGGATTATTCAGGAGAATGAAAGCTTGAAAAACGAGCGACGGGGAGAGACACGCTCTTCTGTAAGTGAGCGCTGAACAAACGCGAGCGGAGCAAGCTGACACATCAGTTTGTATTCATGCGGCTGTAAACCGGAGCCGAGCACCTATTCACGCCCGGTCGAGCTCTTCTATCGCAAGTGTGCGGTCGCTGTTGCTCCCGCGCGAACGCGCCTCTCTTCTCACTACTAATATCAGCCACTGCATTCCTGGTCGACCGTTCTCTTTCGACGTGTTGCTGCAGAAGGCACTCGCAGCCGAAAGAAAAGCGATCAACCGATCCAACCTCTCACCTGGGGGAAAATTTCATCCCTCGGGTCTCGGCTCGATGTTCACCACCTACAGCTTTCGTTTCTTTCTTGTCCGACTTCGTTTCGTCTTCGGGTGAGTTTTGTTACGCCGGCGTCGTCGTAACGTTGCTCTGCAGATGCCGGAAAAATATGGGATGCGAAACAAGAGTACGCGATCCAGTTCGGGAAAGAAGATTTACATCCCGGGCAGGAGAACAATTGAGACGGCCGGTACACGGATCATATCGAGCTGCGAGGGATTCACTTTCGAATTTTGCTTCCAAAACATGAATCAGATTTGCCGACGTGGTCCTCGTATCACGCGCGGGAATCGCGGCTCGGCGAATCATTGGATATTGCTAAACTTCGATCGCATGATTGAATTTGATTCGAGAGCTCGCTCTCGTTTATTGCCTATTAAGCGCAGATTTCCGACGGAAAACTCGAGCGGAGCCGACGTCGACGAGCTTCTCTTCAATTTATTCCTCGGAAACCAAAGGTTACGACCCTTCGGGGATACGATCGCACGCCACACGAGATAACAACAGGTGAGGTGAGGGGTACCCCGTTTACTCATCGTTCCCCTCGAAGTTATTCTGACGTACCTGCGACAAATTGTATGAAGCCGAGCGTTTTCGCCAGCAGGTGGTTCACAGCGTCTGCGGTGAAGCAGCCGATCACGGCGATGAATGCTACCAGCAAAGCGAGTGAAGAGGCTACGCCGATCAAAACCGACGTAACCCTCCACGATACGGAGGGTATCGAGGAGAAGGAGGCGTAGCGCCCGCATTCGAGGACGATTTCCAGTCTGAAAAGCAGAATCGGCGACATTACCATCAGGTATCGAGTTAGCAGGTCCCGGGAAGTTCACTTCTTGTAATTTCTCGGTCGTCACGGTTAGCCGTGCATGCGCGGAACGTTCTTCCAAGCGCCTTTTGCACGTCTCATTTGGTCGGGACCCTTATTCGAACCAGTCCCAGATTCTTGGCGCGCGCCACCACGTCTTTCTGGGCCGCTTTCCGCACCGCTACGGCCGAGACCGATGCGGGAAACACCAGAGACCACGGACGTTGGCGTTAATTTCGTGCCGCTGCGAATTCTCCTTCTTTTATTCGTCTTCCGGGCGGCGCTGTGGGCACACCGCACTGAAAGACGGCACGTATTATACTCCTGTCAAAACAGGCGTGAACAAGGTACGGTCGGCTGACTGCCTGACTGGCTGAGCGTTTCCCCTTCCGCCTCCGGTCAGGCCGAAACGCCGAAGCGTATGATGTGCTGGTGGGCCACAAACGCTGACCGTTCGGTTTGCTTCCACCAAGAGTTTGGATGCTTGGCCATCCAGCTAGAAAAGTCCTCCACGGAGGAAAGAACTCATTCCATGAGCTACAAACGCTAGAACGACCGTCCTGACGCCGATGGGATTTGCGTCGTCTTTTCTGTCGAGGGTCTTACGAGTAACAATTAGTTACCGCGCTCTGTAAACAGCTCGAACGACCATAGCTCCAAGGCACTGGAATCGGCGACGGAGACCGATTCAGGATCTGCCTGTTCCGTGGGAGTGGTGATTTCAGAAACCAATGAGGACAATCAATTGGTAGTGAGCCTATCTGGCCGGAACAGCCGCCATCTCCCGTAAGCCTTCTTACGCCTCTAACGAACGCACCTTCCATTCTCGAGTAGACGAGGGTAGTTGCACCTCCGAAACGAGCCGAAGTAGACCGTCGTCCTATTGAAGATTTCTCCCTGGATCCAGAAAGGGAGATAGAAGCCCACCCCGCTGAGAACAGCGGACGTGAGCGATAGTATGGCCCAGAAAATCCCGAGGTTCGTAAGTGATGAGTTCACAGGCGCGGGAAGGAGCGTTTTTCCGCTGGGTATCGTCATTATGAACTCCTGGAATCGAGAGCAGACAATGTGAATTCGTGTTATCCACGCAGGCTTTCATTATAATTTAGCCGTATCCCATTCGCGGCTCAATTGTTAGTGATCCACCGACGATAGATGTTAACAAAATATGCACCTCAAGGGCGTAATCTCTTTTTTCTCTGAGAGGGAACGTGTATGTGAGAACTGAGCCTCCCGGGGCATAATCCCAATGGAGTGTCTGTTACCCTCCGGTGGCGTAGAATGGATATGCTCCGGATATCGTATGCTGAAAAGTACCTGGGGCATACGTTTTCTTGAACGTGGGTGAGCGGGCAGACCTAGCAAGAAGACGAAGTCTATGTTTTCTAATTAGCCCGATCTAGTCGGATCCAACGTAGAGGCCGGTTCGTTTCCCACTGTCCATTCACCAAGTAAGATGATCGCGCAACGGGAAAAGCCTCAATAGATGGCTGTGTTACTCTCCGAGTAGGAGAAATGTACTCGCTCGTTTGGACCTTTGGGAACGCTATTCGGCGAGTTGTGCTTGGCATGTTCACGCATCATGTTTTTCCGGGTCACGCAAATCTTCATCGATCAGCGTAGAAGAGAGGAAAAAAGGTGATGGAAAGCTTGACCGATGACTCATGGAAATCGAGTGTCGGGGAATATCTTCATTGCGAGAATCTCTCTGACAGACAAGTAGGGACAGCTGCGCGGACGACCGACCCCGCAGCTATCGAATGCTAAACGGAAGGTCGTCAACGCGGACGATCATCGTCATGAGCCCATTCCAGCCATTAGAGCAGCGAGTTCACAGCTCGTCCGGGAGAGTGAGTCGGAAGTTGCGGAGCCCGCTCCCCGATTGAGCGGGCGGTTCTTTTTCAGACAGCGCTGCGATACCGATGAGCGTTTGCTCCTAGGGTGGAGAAAACGATCTTGAGTTTCGAGTGGAGAGTCTCGGCGACAACGAGACGGCCCGAGACGTCTAGCTTCCTGTAATAATTTCAGAGCCGAATCGAGTTCAGCTGGGCGCAACTTTTTTGAGAGAGAAATCATATTCATCATCTTTGGCTTGGTGAGTCGGTACATTCGCGATACTACGTGATGAGCGCACGCGCCCGTGGTACGGATGAGTTTTCTCTCGGATCGGATCGAAACATTCAATCAACAACAACGAGCACAAGCGCGAGCCCGGTGGGCTTCTATTCTGTCGCGTTACCGAGATAACAATTTTGCGTGACCATCGTAGATTCCCAGGCTTGCCCCCAATGAGGTAGGTAGGTGGCAGGAAGCGTAACGGGATCTCATCCGAATCCCGACGTTTTTCTGAGAGAATGGAATTACGGACTAGAGAATCATAGCTGAGGACCTCGCGCGGTATGTTGCGATCAAGAAGAATTTCCTGGGGAAATATCGACAGTTTTAGCTCAACCAGCTCTTCCATTGCGCGTCTACGCGATCGATGAGCGGTAGAGATCCGCCAACTGTTCGTCCCACAGCGGGAAGAACTCTATCGAGTCCATTGACATTCTAATGGATACTGTGGAGCTCCGCAGGACCGTCCGTGGATTGAGTGTTGGCTGATTAGACGCACAAAAACGTTTTGCTACGCATCCCCCACGCCGAGCCATAGATCCGCGCCCCGGCACAATCATTAAGAATTGCTACCAAACGGTCATGCCGGACGGCACCTCACCGAAGATACGTCGAGCCTTTCCAAGCTTCTGATTGTGGACACTGGTCTCCCGTGTCCGCTACTACGACCATTCCGATGTCGACGCGTCGTACTCACGGAACGGGCAGACTGAGTTCTCCGCGGACAGTCAGCAAGCGTAAGTGGAGCGCCAAGTGATCGAATGAAGTGCCGTTGTTCGGCGTACTCTCACAACGGCCGGCTTTTTTCGATAGGTCTCCAAGTGGAACAGTGTTCATCCGTGGGTTCTTTCAAGCTGCCACTCACGTTCGCTTTCGAGGAGTATTCTTCCTGGGCGACACAGCGTCGGGCCTCTCATTTACGACGACGAACTCGACGTTGACGACGGCAGCGAACCACCCATCTATCTACCCATTCATACACGGTGAATGCATCTACTGCTCCAATTATCGAGAAGCTTCCGAGAGAACAGACCGGCCCGCTGATCCGACAGAGTCAATCATACACAGCGAGACGCCGCACAAAAAAAAACATCCGAGTGAAATTACATCAGCCGTCGCTTAGTGAGAGCACGTCTGCCGAAGTCTGCGGCTGGAGGCGCTAGGGGCCATCGGATTCTTGGCCTAAGCCACGCTTTGCCCAGGAGTCAAAAAGCAGCGGTGGCAGGCCACCGAGTCGGCCATCCAACACCCGAGTCCGCCTTGGGAAGGCACCAGCAGGCACTGTATGTGAGAATGTGTGGAATGCAGAATTCTTTCTCAGCTCAGACGGCTCGGTCGGCTGCTCGGTCAGCCCATTTTGCCTCATGCTCCTGGTGTTCTCCTTTTTCCCTGGCTCCTCTATTGTTACAGCATGCAGGCTTGCCACTATCCATTACGACGAATGGCGCCGCATAAGGGAAGAAATAAGGAAACAAACAATAAAATTACGTTCGAGCGTAAGTTCGCGGACTGAGTCCTCCCAGGTTTCCGCTTCGGTGCGTTTCCAAAAAATACGCGCTCCTTTTCGTCCTTCCCTCTCCTCCGGATCGAGCATTTGACGCGCACGTGTTTCCAAGATCGTCAAATGTCTCGGCCGAGTCCCTGATTATCGTTGAGGGGGAATATCTGCTGCGGACCGCGGCTGTTCTCTTCTGTTGCACGAGCTCACTCAGAATGCTGATTACTTTTAGATAAGGATGCAGACAAAAACCGTTAGCGCACCATTCGCGGGGAGGGACCCGACAGACTGAATTCATTCCGGCCACGCGGGCTCAAAGAAACAAATGTGTCAGTTTCAAATAGCAGCCTCTCCACACCCACGTATATCCGAACGTCCCACAGGTAGCTGTTCGCGTGCATCTGAGAGACATTTCCCCCGCGCCCGCATGCGTTTCCTGCCGTGCGCAGAATTTCAAACGGAAAGGAAGTGACTCCTACTCACTCGAGCTCACGCTCGACTGGGTCATCAGCACACGATCCTTAAAAAGTTCCTATCGGAGCAAACATCCCAATCTCCCCGGCAGATCGATGAATGAAGCGGGATAAAAACTGGTCTCTTCCGATTCCTCACAGATTGCTTTCTGAGACGCTGATGACTCTGGGGACCCGAGCGCCAACGAGAATGGAGCTCCAGCTTTCAGATTACGTCTGTACGTGCCTCATCGGGGGACTTTTGAATGTCATACCGTCATACCACCACAACGCTGGTCAGAGCTCGCTATCGGATGAGCTTCCTCATCTGCGGAAAAATTCATCCCGTCTCTCACCGTCGCATCGGTTGGCAGAAAACGAGTGACATAGCATGAAAGCGCCTGACTGCTGATCTCGCGTCCTTCCGCGCTCGTTCCATCTCGCGCACAGGTCCACGAATCGAGCCTCCACTGCTTCAACCCCGTGGCTCTTCCGCTCGATCCGACGACCTGCGGTGTCCCCCGGGACCCGGGCTCCAGGAGAACACCTCCAAAACGAGAGAGTTTCATTCCACGTGGATCTCCTTCGGTCCGGCTGCTCGTTTGAGAGCTCCGAGAAGACCCTCGAATTCCAGGAGAGCTTTTTTTGTTTACGGAGAATATTCTCGTCGAGCGGACGCAGGTCTTCTCTTCTAGCTCTCCCATCATTCGTACCCTCTACCGTGAGGGTTCAAGAACGAGTGGAATGGCTGCGAGAATACGGCGGGAGATCCTTGATCGAGGATAAGAGGAGGCTGGCCAGAAAACTGCGTCTTCCATTTGAACTTATCACCCAGAGGAATTACGCAGGCGGTCCGAGAGGTCTTAAAACCTCTCGATTCAAGAGATCCGAATTCCCCGCGAGGGAAAGTTGAGGCCCCGAGCCGGAAAGAGCCCGTGGCAGATTACAAGAAGACTAGCGGACATCAGAAACTCGTTTCCAGGTCCCTTGAACGGTGCCTCCTTCTCAGGATAGCTGACCGAAAGTTTGCCTTTGCGTTCCTCTGGCACGACCACTCGTCCCTTAGCGGTTCCGTGGAGTTTATCTACTCTGTAGTAACGATGAGAGCCGCGAAGAGGATCGGTCTTCCCTATCGACATCCCAAAACCTTCGATCATTCGCTTGTTTGAGCGCAGAGGGTGAGGCTGGCCGCACTTCTCTCGCGTTGACCACCTCCCCCACCTATGTACATATACATATACAGTAGAACCTCGTTATAGAGTACAGAGAGGGGCCAGCCGGGAGGGTACGTCATATTCAGAGTCTGTCGATTCGAAAACGGGTTCTAAATCGGGATGCAGCGTGGAAACTATCGGGAACACCGCACAAGCCTTTCTTATGACGTGCATCCGAGCGATGAAGCCCGCAAATCGCCCAATAGGCTATCGTATCAGATTTTTCCACTCGCAAGAATAGGTCGATTCTTATCGATTTCATTAGCATGGTGGGGGAAGGGACCGAGGTCTGGAAATTTGTTCTTTTTTATCCGAAAGTCCGTCATTGGGAGCTGAGATCGAGGGATCGGTTCGTTGTAACCGAGTGTTCCTTGTATCCGGGTCCTCTATGTCGAAGTTCTACTGTACATTTCTTCAAGTCCCCTCCTTTCTCTCTCTCGCTCCGCGCGAGAGCGTTCGCGACGGAGAGCAACTCTTGCTTTTGAGAATTCGATCAGACTGCCATCCCAGAAGACGGCAATGCAGCTCGTCCTAGGAAAGTGAAAAATAGAGGTCGGCTCTCCGGGGCGACTCTCCCTTCCTCACCCTGCAAATGTACCGTTCCACATCCAGGAATGATTCAGCTACATAGATTCTGAACCCGATTTTCATCGTGTGGTATCGATGCAGATGAAGACATGGATCATGGAAATCAATCGAGAATTCCCGCGCCGAGCGTCAGGGCAGGATCGGGGGAGGGGGCTCGACGGAAGGGGGTGATCTCTCATC